TGGTTGTGCCATTAATGATTTACCATCGAAATGAATGAACAAGTTCGCAGAGGAATTAGTTGTTTTATCGGCAGAACCGAACCTTTAACATATTGTAAGATAGCAACATTACCCCGCTATGCCAACATCTTGAATATCCGTCTAAATTTCGAGCGGATTTCAAGACTAACTTAAGCTCTGCAACTTTATCTTTTTTTTGACTTCCCGTGTTGAATAGGAGAACATGGATTTCCCGTACTGAACACTTATTAAAGTATTTGTTCGCGAATAATTTTTGTTATTACTATTACTATTTTTTCTTCATTACCACCACTGTTATTATTACTACTGTTGTCGTTAACGCTACTGTTGATAATATTGCTGTCGTCATTATTACAATTTCTATCACTAAAATCATTGTTGTTGCCGTGTTATTATAGTTTATATTTTTCGCTATTATTGCTATTATTGGTATTTCTATTATTAATGCAGTTATTACTAGTGCGATTCGGAGACTTTTCCAGACGATTCCTATCCACGATCGGTGTGAGAGGAGCAATAGGGTGAAGAGGCATATGCTCACGCTCCCAAAATAACTTTTAAAGGAGTTTCTTCAAGCCAACTTTTTTCAGTCAGTTTGAATTGTTTCAGATAGAAGATAACAAGACGAGTGAAGCAGCAACTCCAGTAAGGTTTGTTACAGAATCATACTGGTGCGTAAAGAAAGTTATTTGCGTCCCAGTACATGCCGTGCTAGCGCTGGCGTAGCCAAGCATTTTGGGAGGGACAAAGAATGTACGACGAAAAATGAGCCGAATTTTAAGTTTTATAACAAAAAGAAGTAGTAAATTTTCCACTTGGTTCACTTTATAATACTTAATACTTTCATTGTTATATTTGTCACTCGAATTAATTTCCACTTATCGTTCAATACAGCTGGCGTCTTTTATACTTTTCCAGTTATTTCGACCAGCACAGCACTGGCTGATGGTCAGCCTGTTGCTGCTGATGCTGACACTTGCTCCGACTCCTTTTGAACACTGCGAAAGGGCGGAAATATTCGTTTCATCTCTTCCTGGGCTGTTTGCAAGATTGCAGACCATTATTATTATTGTTATTATTATCATTATTATTATTGTTATTATTATTGTTATTATTATTGTCATTATTATTATTACTATTATAGCCGTAGTCACAATCACTGCTACTGCTATTATTATA